TATATATATAATTGGATTAAGGGATTCAATTTTGATATATATGTTTTCATATTTTCTTTATTGTTGTAGAGATGCAAACAAAGAAGACAAACAATTTTGTAAAAACTTTTTATTAAAAAAATCAATATGTTGTCCTTTTTTTATCTTCAAAACAGGAAGGTGTTTAAACTGTCACGTCATCAATAGAGAAGGGTTATATTGCGGGGTACTTTTGAGATTGTAGTATTGACCTGCATTTATTTGATGTGGAGGGTTTTCTTGCAAAAAAAAATTATTGTGTGTTTTTCTGATATATATTAAGTCAGTCACTTTATGTTTTTTTTTGTCATCAAGTCACTTTTTGTTTTTCTTCTGATTTTACTGGTAAAGTTGAGAACATTGGAACCATAAGGATTCAACGACTAGTGAAAAGGCCAGCCAATGTTTTAGCAGAGGAATCGATTTAACGAAAACATGGCCTTTAAATCTTCATCTATATAACAACTAGGAATGAAATTAAGTGTAGCAATAAGGTAAGAACGTGTAACACCATAAATGGAAGAGCTTATCATCTTCATAACATAGCATGCAAGTTTATGCAAGTTTCAAAAGCTTCGTCCAATGTTATGAAAACTAGAGACAGGCAAAGAAATAGACAAGACTGTACATTGATAATCTGATGCGTCCACACATTCCAAGCGGATTAGAAGATCCCAAATGTGTTCTCGCCACTGTAACTCATGTATAGAAACCCGTCTTCATCTTTGTGCTCTTCATAAATCGCAGACATTATGGCCGCTGCAAAAGAAGGATAACACTACTACTATTAGTTCCAAACTGACAAAAATATATGATTCTTTGAACTGGAAGAGTAGATGATTAGGGAACGCGTCTATATCTAACCTGTTGGTGGTAGAATGTTCTTCACAAAAATGAATATAGCTTTCTCGGGACTGAGCTTGATCCGCTTCCGTACAACATAAACAAACTGGCCAACGGTCAGATCAGCTGGGACCAAGTACCTGAAGTTTTTCCAATAAGTCAGCCAAATTTGTTATCTCAACAACGCATAAGGAACCCTTCATAAATAAAACATGAAACACACAGAATTTCTCACGTAAAGCCAAGACTTACTTTTTCTTATCGATATCAGGGACATCACTCTTCTCAGCTTTCTCGACTATGACCTGCACAATTAAAGACAAAATAAGACAAAGCTCGTATGCACTTTCTTGAAAGAAGATAGAGAATTTCTCATTCATACAGGTATTCTATCTGGATACTTCTCCCTGATACGAGCTGCTTCAGCTTGTCTCTTTTCTGCAACATTCAAGAGCAAAAAACACACAATCCATTAATTTCAACACATTAGTAGTCTTCTCTAATCTAATTGCATCCTCAGCAAAACCAAAACGAAACCAGAACATGTTTCAAATTAAGACTATGTACAGTACACTACACTACACTACCTCAAGGGACTAATCCCGTGAACAACACTTTCTAGGAGGACAAAAACAAGAGAGACTTCAACATCAATATTCATCTCCACTTAAACAGAGTATCTAATGTATTTGCATTCTCATCAAAACAAAAACAAAAACAGAATATGTTTCAATCAAGACTATAGTACAGTTACACTACTCAAGGGACTGATCCCATCAACAACACAGACTCAGCAAAAATATTAAGAGAGATCCTTATCAACATCAATATTCATCCCCACTTGTACAGAGATTCTGATGTATTTGCATCCACAACAAAAGCAAAATATGTTTTAATCAAGGCTTGTTCACTACTATAGGTACTGATATAGCGATTCTATTTCCCGCGAACAACACAGACTTAGCGAAAACATCAAGAGAGATTAGTAAAACTTATTATCTCCAAGATCAACAACATTCTTCTCCACTCGAAACAGAGATTATAATGTATGTATTTGCATCATCATCAAAAGCAAAAACGAAAACATAACATAACACGTTTCAATCAAGATTATTAACACTAATCCAGACTTGTTCACTACTCCAAAAACAGACTCAGCAACAAAATCAAGACTCAAATACGTGAATCTTAGTATCTTCAACATCTAACATTCTTCTCCACTCGAAACAGAGATTATAATCTATGTATTTGCATCATCATCAAAAACAAAAACGAAAACTTAACATGTTTCAATCCAGAAACTAAAAAGACGCAGGCAACAAAATCAAGAGAGACAAGTGAATCATATCATCTTCAACATCGATTCAATGATCAATTCATACAGAATCAAAGCAATTCTAATTGACGAAACCTAAAATTAGAAACCAGAATTTCAGAAATTTCTAAACCCTACGATGAGAGAGATACACGAAGATCAACAAGTTTGATCGATTAGGGTTAAATCGAAGGAGAAGAGATGTGTAAAAAGGGGAAATTTCAAAACGAACCGAGAGGATGTTCATGCTTGAAGGAGCTAATCGCCATGGTTTCACGAGTTTCGAAGCGAGGAAGAGAGATGAGAAGAGAAGCAAGGGTTTGTTGTTAACGTCGAATTGGGATATCGAATGAGATATTTATATATATCTAATTAAATATATTACTTAAGACTTAAGAGTTATTTTACCGTCAAAAATATTATTCATCTACGAGACTTTTTTTTTTTTTTTTCTCTTTTTTTTTTAATGGGAAAATTAGAAATAAAGGATAAATAATTAAGTTATTATCCATCCATGTATGCATTTTATATTTATTAGATAGGAGATTAGTGTAAATTATATTTAATATTATAATAATTTGAAATGAGATTAAAATTTAGAAAATATAACAAAACTAAAGATATGCAAATTTTCTCATGAAATAATTGAAAATTTATACCTAACAAAATTATTATTTATTTCATTTTTTATATTTTTATGTATTAAAATTTTAAAATCATTACGTAAACAAAAATTTATAATATCTTCAGATTAAAAAATCCTCCTAAAGATATACAAACATCTCCATCAACAATTGAAGATTCATACCTATAAAATTATGAGAGAATTTCAAAAATGCCCCTTTTCATATACCTCTCTTAAAAAATAGAGAATTTTTGAGAAATATCCCTTTTGGTGTAACCTTTTTAAAAATACCCCCTTTATCTATCCATTTTCAAAAATACCATTTTTAAATATAAAAAATTATAAAGTTTTATATAGTTTATAAGGTATTTCTATATAATAACTACTACTGGGAGATTCGATATAAATATTTTAAAATGTTTTAAATATTTTTAAATCGTTTTTGTAAGTTTTATAAGATTTTTAAAAGGTTTTTAAAAGGGTTTATACGATTTTTATAAGGTTTTTATAATTTATTTTTATGCTATTTATGAAAGGTATATAATGTTTTATACACATATAAAGGTATTTTGTGTATATATTTATAAGCTTACACACATATTTGGATAAATTTCAACATTTTTAGTGGGTTTTTTAATAGAGTTTGAAAGAGGGTATTTTTAAAAAGAGGTATATGAAAAGGGGTATTTTTGAAATTCCCCCTAAAAACTATCCCATTTTCAAAATTTATAAAAAAAACCACTAAAAATATTGAAATTTATCGAAATATGTGTGTAATCTTATAAATATATACACAGATTACATTTGTATGTGTATAAGATTTTATATATCTTTCATAAATAGCGTAAAAATAACTTATAAAAACCTTTTAAAAACCTTATAAAACTTATAAAAACGATTAAAAAACATTTAAAATATTTTGAAGCATTTGTATCGAATCTCCCAGTAGTAGTTATTATATAAAAATACCTTATAAACTATATAAAACTTTATAATTTTTAATATTTAAACAGGGGTATTTTTTCAAGTGAATAGATAAATGGGGTATTTTTAAAAAGAGACACACCAAAAGGGGTATTTCCCAAAACTTCTCTTAAAATTATTATATTTTCTAATTTATCTATGTTTTCACGTGTGAATTAAAAATATTGCATGTGTTAAAATTTGGATTATCATAAAATTAACTGAGTATTATATTTTCTTATATAGATTAGGAGTTAGGACCCGTCTATTAGACGAGATATTTATTTTCAAAATAAAATTAAAATTAAAATTTTTTAACGTAAGCATATTATATCCAAAGTATATTTTTAAAATAGATACTTTTTAGGTTAGTAAGTATTTTTTTGTTTAAAAAACTAATTAGGTATCATACATATTTAAAAATCGTAATTAAACATTCATTATTAAAATTTAGTAAAGTTAATTTATCGATCACCAAAAAAATTGTGAACTATTCACTATTTTACATAATATTACTATTACCGAAATTTTCAAAAAAATTAATTTAGCAATTATACCTTTAACATGATTATACCCTTATTCTAAAAATATGTTATTTCCTAACTTCTAGTTTTTTTAAAAATATTCTTGCATATATTTTTAACTGCACAATTTCTTGTACTTTTAATAATTAATATTATTACAAAATTTGATGGTAAAGTTCTTACAAACTATACATCAATGCAAAAAATGAGTTATAGTGATGTTGAGAAAATAATTAAGATTTTTTTCAAAAAATATAAAAGTATACAAAATTACATATTTGGAAAAACAATTGTTCTAGAAATCATTATACTACGAATTATATTGAACTTTTATTACCCTAATTTTAAGTTAATAATATCTCTTTTTCAGTTCCTTTTTATCGACCCCTCTTGTTTTAGCCAATGAAATTGTACTATGACAGATTACATTTAAATTAAAAAAGTTATAACATATTAGAAAAAGTAAAAACATTTATTTAGTTAAACCCATAATCTCGTATAATTGTACCATCTAAATCTTAATTCTCTTTTATAAATTGAAACCAATAAATAATCTTATATAAATTGTGTAATCTAAACTCTACTCTTTATTTATAAACCAAAATCGACATAAAAGACTGTAACTGTTTTCTCTTGTTTTATTTGCTCTAATTTGTTCCTAGTTGTATTTGGAAACTGGAGTGACTCATGTACATAATTTTGTTAAATAAATTCCACATGTAAAAAAAAAATCAACATAAAATCTTAAATTAACTCATGTCAATATCTTATCGATAGAATTGACATATATCACGATCATGTTAATGACTAACTTAATTATATTAACTTATTGAATGAAAATATTTAAATATTACATAATATCAAATATTTTATAAGATTAACTTATAGTTGACTAACTTACTGTATTAATAACTTTATATTAATGACTAACTTATTGTATTAATAACTTTATATTAATAATTTTATTATATAAATACTATCCTTTTCTTTTAGGATTACTCCTAAGTAATTGTTAAATTTCCTGAAATTTTATTTTCTTCTTTCTGTTTTGAAAATATTCTTTTAGATAACTAATATATATAATTTCTTATCACTAATTTTCTGGCATGTGTCGACATCTTATAAATTCAATTAACACGTGTCACAATCTTGTTAAGTTCTGACATGTGTCGACATCTTATTAATTCAATTAACACGAGTTACGATCTTGTTAATGACTAACTTTGAAAACCCAACTTTATATAATAAGATGTTTGGTCATTTATGCTTTAATATAATTAAAATCCCATTATACCCTCATATTTTAAAACTCTTGTAAAACTATTTAAATTTCCATAGGGCATATATTTCTTAAAAAAATCTTGCAAAAACATCAACAATCATAATTGTATTTCGTTAGAAGAAAAAAATTGTATTTCAATATCATACAATAACAATTTTATACAAAGTAATCTACTAATTTGACATGATATATGGCAGTATTTAAAAATATTAGTATTAAACTTGAACAAAAGAAACGAAGAAGTAAAAACAAATATAAGTATGAACTAATATAAGTAAAGTAGTAGAAGTAGCTTTGAGTGGATTATTGATTCTACGATCATCTTTAGTTTATGTAGTGAGTGCTTATTGTTGGATCGTTTATAAATATAAATGTGTGTTGGCTTGCTCTAATTTGAATGACTCGTTGTGCCGTGTGAATTTTAAAACTAAGACTTTAAAATAGTTGATTTGATAATCTGATTAATGGCTTAGTTTTGTGTTTGTCATGTGTCTAGTTAGTTTTCATTTCCGTTTTATTAAATAAATTCTAAATTAGGTAAAAGGTATATTTTTATATAAAATATAGAAAAACGTTAGAATATGCATTCTAATAAATTTAGAACATGAGTAAATGCTAGAAAATATATTCTAATTTTTTTGAACAAAGAGGAAACTATGGAATATGTATTCTAAATTTTGTATACTTTAGTATTCTAAATATCGTAGAACATAAATGACTTCTAAATTATGTAGAACATGTAAAATGTGTAGAATACACAATCTAAATTTCGTAGAACATGTATAGTGTATAGAATACACATTCTAAACTTCAGAATATGTATTCTAAACTTTGTAGATCAAATTTTATCAATCTAAACGACAACAAAAATAGCATATTTTAATTTTTTTAGTATTCTCATGCCTTTATTATCATTTCTTTACAAATTGTTCTTAATCTTTTTTGAAAAAATGATTGAATCTTATAAAAGTGGTAATTTAGGAATACTTGACATTTGTTCATAGAATGCATAGATGGACAATAGTTTAATTATTTATCCTTTATTTCAAATTTCCTTTTGAAACTTAATTGCGTAGAAAAAAAAAACAAACTAAATGACAAAAACGGGAAAAGTGATAAAGCAATAGTGGGCATTTGTCCAACTGATTTCAGGAGTAGTGGCCTTTTTTAGCTTGAGCAGTGGCGTTCTTTTTAACATGAACAATGGTCTCACTTGAAGCAGTGACCTCGCCTTCCCTAGCTGTAGCATGGAATTCAATTTCCTTAGATGGAGCCAGGACCTCAGGATCAGTAATCTAAGCTGGAGTAGCTATAGTGACCACCACTTCAAAATTAGAGGCTTCATGTATGATATATGGTTCCATTAGGTGAGCATATTCTGTACCGAGAAAGTTTCTTGCTAAACTCCTTAGCGACGAGTACATAAACTTATTCCATTTTCTTTTCTTATTTAACAATATAATTGTAGAATTAATTAAGTAGGGACACTTCATTAAATACTTTTACTTTTAAAAAAAAAAATACTGCTATTTGTATAACATTAAAAAATGTCAAAAGTTTTATTTTTCTAAAAGTATCATAAACACAAAAATTAAAAATATCAATTCTTGTAGTTTGGGTTGACCAATTCATATTTCTGATATAGTTAAGATTTAGAATGTTTTTTCAATATTATCTTGTTTAAATTTTTGTGGTTTTTTTGGAGAAAAAAAAATATTTTAATGATATTTTTTAAAAAAAATAACTAATAAGTAATAACAGTATTTTTGAAAAATATATATATTAATGGTATTCATGAGAAGTACTCAATTAAATATGTTTTGTTATATAAACTTGGTTTAAAAGTCACTCATTTACAAACAGTTTGGATTGGATAAAATTGTCTTGAATTAAACCGATATTAGAATTTGGTTTGGTTCAAAAGCATCATATTTGGTTGAGTAAACCAAACTTTCTGTTAAATCAAAATAGACTCTCTTGATTTTTTTTTTTGTAAATATGTACAGTTTTGCAAGGGGGAAATTGCCAAAATTACCCATACCATTTGCTGGCAGCATTTTTATATCCAAACTATGATACTCGGCAAAAATCAACCTAAATTCACTAAAAATTCAAATTCCCAACCCAAAATATAAGAAATTACCCAAAATCAACATATGCCGAAACGGTGATAGTTAACCGCTTAACGTGAATCAGTAAGTCGACACCGTGGCAATTAAGGGGCCATCAAAATTGTGAGTTGAAGAACCGAACCAATTAAACTTCAGTTCGGTTTGGAACTACTACTGGTCAGGCCTAATCTCAACAGTCTCTCTTAATTTTCAATTTATAGTGACTTGGCAAAACAAGGAACTAGCCATTCATCTTCTTTCCCAATTGGTTTTAGGGTTCCTTAATATTCTCTAATTTCTGTAACCAAAACCAAAATGTTTTGAATAATTATGTTTTAGGATTCAATGATTCATCTTCTTCGCCATTTGGTTTTAGAGGTGTATCATCCTCTCTCGCTTTTGTAAAACCAAAACAAAACTTTAGTGTGTAACTGCTAAAGAACAAATAGCAGATAACCTAAGTGCTTCAATACTATGATTAGTATCAGCAAAGAACGTCAAAGTTCAATTTTTGTAATCTAAGATTCAAGATGTTTAACAATCTTTTGTTTAAGAAAACCAAATCAGTAGTATAATGAAAATTCGGAAATGGTAACAATGAAATACAAAAATCATATTTGGATACAGTCAAAATATAATTTCACAGTACATGAGGAGTTGGTGTTCAAAGAACAGTATCAGAGTAAACTGAACAACTAAACAACCGGTTTATTCTGGTTTTCTCGGACCAAAAAGACAGAAGCAGACATTTTCAGTCTTGGGTTGATGCGTTCTGATTGAGTTCAGCAAACCGCATACCAACACGCATTGTATGCTTAAGGAACTTCTCAGCGCATCGCATAACACAAGTCTCCTCTTGTTTCTGTAGAGATTTGCGTGTAAAGCTATCAACACAGTCCACAAAACACCTCTCTACCAATGAATTGTACATCCTCAAGCTGAAAGTAACCAAAAACACCACAACAAGCAAAGATCTCTCAGTTCGGACATTAAAAAGAACTACTCGAATAGACAGTGCATGATAAGTTTGTAAGGAGATCAGTTTACTCTTAGCTTTAATGTTAGACAGCAAGAGACAGAGTCAAAAGTAGATTGCAAAACTAAGAGTTATGATTAGAGCAGACAACAAAACAATATCAACTAGAACAGAGCAAGTTTGAGACTATTGTGTTCCACGGAATCAAAACTAAACATATAACTTCCCTAGATAACAGTTGTGAAAACTTGTGTCAATGCCCATGAACCTAATAACAAAACAAATCCATTACAAAAACAGGATAGACCTGTTGTACACTAACTGGCTCCTCTGGTGAAGAGGAGATCAAATTACTTCTAGCTTCAATGTCAGACAACAAGAGACAGAGTCAAAACCAGAAGAATAATATTAAGCTCCCCCTCTGTTTTGAATAGAGCAAACAACAAAACAATATCAACTAGAACAGAGCAAGTTTGAGACTATTAGGTCCATTGTGAAAACTTGGTCAATGAAGCCTAAGATCAAAAATCCATTACAGAAACAGGATAGAACTGTTGTGAAATGAGACATCAACGATTCAAAGATCTACAATATCAAAGCAAGTTTGAGACTATTGGTTCCACGGAATCAAAACTAAATAGATAGCTTCCCTAGATACATTTGTGAAAAGTTGCTCAATTCCTAAGAACCTAATAGCAAAACAATTCCATTACAAAAACAGGATAGACCTGTCGTACACTAACTGACTACTCTGGTTTAAAGGAGATCATTTTACTCTTAGCTTCAATGTCAGACAACAAGAGACAAGAGTCAAAGCAGATTGCAAAACTAAAAATAATATGAAGACAAGAGCAGACAACAAAACAATATCAACTAGAACAGAGCAAGTTTGACACTACTGGTTCAATGAAGCCTAGAAACCTAACAACAAAACAAACCCATTACAAAAACAGGATAGAACCTTTGTGAAGTAAGACATCAATGGTCCAAAGATCTTAAATTCAATATCCCTAAGTCTAAAAGTCGAAGTTTTTTCGACATTCCCAAATGATAAAAGAAGGTTCGGTCGAAATGACGAACCTGTCACGTAGCTGAAGCTGTTCAATCATGGATGACATAATTGCTCTGTCTTCATCAGGAAGACCATCGAATCCAGCCATCATGTTTGCGTCCATTTTTTTTCACAAACTCTTTTCTTTCTTCGTCTACAACAACACAGATTCAGTTCTTCATCGCCTGCCTCCTTGTTCTAGATCTTAAACCCTAGAGATATTCTTTGTTGGGCCTGATGGGCTTTGTTTCTTATATCTTGATTAAAGCCTAGTTTCATACTAGCTACTCAGCTAGGCCCGGTATTGTAGTAGTACGAAATGTAATGAAACTAATACATATGAATAGCGGGAAAATAGCGAGAATCAATTCAGAGTATTTGCTGGCGGTAATTTTTATATCCAACGACGAGAAATATGTTAATTTTGAATTAAAGAATTACTTAGATGGACTACATTTTAGGTGTATTGACGGAAACCATCCAAAATTTTTTTTATCCTTAAATGTTTTTTAATTACCAGCGTACCCTTTTTACACGTTACCGGACAAAATTAATTACGAAAAATGCCACTGCCACGTTAGACAAAAAGGCGCGTGCCACCAATAACTCAGCCATAACGTACGTTACGGCTGAGTTATATCACGTTATGGCTGAGTTCTGGGACAACGGCTGAGTTTCGGGTCAACGGTTGACTTACGATCATAACTCAACCAACAGTTACGACTGACTTATAAAAATCTGGTTGAGTTATGAGAAAACGGCTAATAACTCAGAAGTTTGGCTGAGTTATAGTCCGATGGTTGAGTTATCAGAAGTTTGGCTGAGTTATGTTATCGACACGGCTGACTTAACTTTCTCCGGTTGGCTGAGTTATCGACAACGGTTGAGTTATCAAATGTCGTTACGGCTGACTTATGTTTCAGAGACATAACTCAGTCGTAATTGGCTGACTTAACGGAAAACTCAACCATGTTACGGCTGACTTATAGACAAAAGATTTATTGCTAATATACCCTCCAGTTACGGCTGACTTATTTTACGTTACGGCTGACTTATTGACGTTACGGCTGAATTTGGCATCTTAAAAAACATTTTAGTAATTACTTAAATATTTTTCACGTTGTGGCTGATTTAATTTGTGTTGATGGCTGATTTATTTTGGCTGAGTTTAAAATTTGTTTGGTGGCTGCCTTACGACTTCAAATGCACAATTCCACGTCAGCATAAACGAGGGAAATACGAAAGGTCCCCCATTAGCTCGTGTTTTTTCTTACACTCTGTTCTTCATTTTCTGTTCTTCACTTCACTTATGTTCTTCATTTTCACTTCGGTTCTTCATTTCTAATCTTCATTTTCGTTGATGGATCTGGTTCTAGTAATTGTTATTTATGGTAATTGGGTAAAAAACACAAATATGTATTTTAACGCCGACGATAAAGAGTGTAAAGTTGTGCAGATAGATGTTGAAAGAACACACGAAAAGCTTGTGAAGTTGGTTCTCGATGACTACAGATTGAATGAGTTGAACCATCATGTAACAATGAGCTACATGTTAACGTTACAATAATTCAGCCAAACCTCGAAATGGTCTGTGTAAGTCAACCATGACGCTGGCATAACTCAGCCAAACCACAAATTTATTTACGTTAAGTCAGCTATGTCCTTGGCATAACTCGGTCAAACCTCGAATTATTCTACAATAAGTCAACCATGTCGTTGGCATAACTCGGCCAAACCTCAAATATGGTAGATGTGAATATTTGATGTACTCATGTAATAAAAACACTTTAATAATATGTAGTTAACACTTTTATTAACTTTCCATAAAAAAATCATGAAATTCGCTCAGGTTTGTACCTTTTAAAACTTATCTAACAAAACGATAAACCCCAAACCCTATACTTCTATTCCTACACAGTTGATCAAATATAGAATGTAAAAGAGCTGTTATTGATTTTTGTTAATTGTATTATAATATATTTAATCTCTACATTATTATAACCAGTGCTAATGTTAACATTCAAATGTCCCTTTAAATTAAAGTTTTAGTCATTAGTCAATCTTGAAAAAATAAATAACTCAGCTGTGACGTATTATTCTATATTCAGACACAAAACTTTGAATTATTTTGTTTAGAAAATTTGAATTCAAATTTTGAATTATTTTGAATATATTTTTTTTAAACATAATACTCTATGACTTTATTATGCATATGCATGTGAATATGTGTACGTAATTATTGTTCATCTTTCCCAAAAACCACTTTTTGTAATCTCGAGAATGTATATCACAACTCATCCGTAATGTAGCATAACTCAGCCGCAATGTAGCATAACTCAGCCGTGACGTATTATTCTATATTTAGACAAAAACTTTAAATTATTTTGAATATTTTGTTTATAAAATTTGAATTCAAATTTTGAATTATTTTGAATAATTTTTTAAAAACATAATACTCTATGACTTTATTATGCGTGTGCGTGTGAATATGTGTACATAATTATTGTTGGTCTTTCCCGAAAAACACTTTTTGTAATCTCGAGAAAGTATATCATAACTCAGCCGTAATGTAGCATAACTCAGCCGTAATGTACCATAACTCAGCTTTAATGTAGCATAACTCAGCCACAATGCGGCATAACTTAGACAAAAAGTTGAAAACGACGTTTCGTATTTCCCTTTTGTTTTTTCGTCGGAAAACGAAGAGTCTCCAGCCGAGTTGAAACGAAAGGCGATTGCAATGACGACGAGAGAGAGAGAGAGACTCGTCGGTATGAGTCGAAGCGGACGAAAGAGATGAGAGAGAGAAGCGGCGAGAATTAGGGTTCTTCGCCGGAATCGCCGAAGTAGAGATATTTTTTCCCGTACGTGAACAATTACAAAAAAAACCACAACTCAGCCGTAACTTACAATAAGTCATAATATAACTCAGCCGTAATGTACCATAACTCAGCCGCAATGTATCATAACTCAACCGTAAACGACGTTTCGTATTTCCCTGTTTTTTTGTCTTAAAACGAAAAGTCTCCACCCAAGTTGAGAAGAAATGTGACAGCAATGACGACGAGAAAGAGAGAGACACACCGATTATAGGATAAGCGGCAATAAGAGACGAGAAAGATAAGCGGCGAGAGTTACGGTTCTTCGTCGGCTTCGAGAGAGAAGAACAATTTTTTTTCTTATTCTTTTTAGTCTTCTGCCTTTTCCTTGGCCTATTCCGATCTCACATAGACACCTTTTTTGCAACAAATGAAACAAAACCCGAGAATGGGATATGAGATTTCGATATAGTGGCAAAATAACAAGACAATAATGAGATTACGAGTTAGTGCCATATGTTTACCATTCACTCTCTTCGTCTTCATTATTGTCATCTTCAAAGCAACTCTCACCATGAACAGAACCACATGTGAGGACCAAGAACTATTTTCTTTTCTCATAACATTGGATGTACGCAATTTGAGAAGAAATACGATAGGAATGACGACAAGAGAGAGACTCCTTGAGAATCGACGCGGCCAAAAGAGATGAGAGAGAGAGAAGCGGCGATAATTAGGGTTCTTCGTCGGAATCGCCGAGGTAGAAATATTTTTTCATGTGTGTGAAAAATTACAAAAAAAACCACAACTCAGCCGTAACTTACAATAAGTCATAATATAACTCAGCCGTAATGTACCATAACTCAGCCGCAA